TCTTCAGGGGATTTTTGTTAAAAGATAGTAAGACGGTGAAAAAGCCTTTGTCAGTCAGGGCTGTGCCCATGCTTAGAATATGGACAGTGCTTTTTATTTTTCTTTTTCTCCTTCTTTCTGTGAGACACCTGGAAACCTACCCATGTGTTTGGGCTTTCCATTTGCTAGGGTATGCAGTTAACGACACTTCAGTGTTGTGCAGAATTAGAGCCTATAAAAGCTTGTGACAAAGAGACGTGAGTTTTCTCTGCAGGCTTCTATGACTTGTTATATTCAGGATGCATTAGCAGACATCGAAACTGGGGAACGTATTTAAGATGTATTTTAGGCTAAAAGCAAAATGAAATCAAGGCGTCTGCATTTGGAAGGCGTTCTTGCCACGTCTGGTGGTCTGTACTTGGGTGTCTCGGTGACGTCAAGTGACAGTCACTGGTGCTGAACCCTGTATCTTGTTAAATGCGTTGTGTTAGCTTAAACCAGCATGAAGTTTACCTGTCAAGTCTAGCTCTATAGCTTGAGCTTAACTCTGGGATCATTTCATTTCACTTCTGGTATACTAGTCTGTGAAAACTTTTCCCTGGAGAGTGTTTGGAAAGACTGAAAATAACAAAAATAAAAAGGGGGGAAGAAAGGTACATTTGGCAGTTGTTCTTCAGAACTGGAGAGAGGCGCATGGGGATGAAGAACAGAAAATGGGGATATCTAAAAATACTTAGAGTATTTAAAGGCTGAGACTCTAACGCTCTTTGTGGGCAGCGATCCAGTGACCCCAGCAGCCACGACTGCTTTGTTGTAGAGGCTGTTGCTCTGGTAGAAGAGGCTATGCACGTGTCCCCCTTTACAGCCAGATTTTCAGGAGTGCTGCAGTCCAGTCTATTATTTGAAGGCATTGAGATGTCATGCTCAAAATCCAACTCCAGGACTTGGTAAAGAATCTGGGTCTCCACTAAAGCAAGAGACTTGCTGGTGCACTTCTATTTCCAAACCAGTGGAGGGATATTTCATTTTTTGATTTTAAAAAGCCTGTGCACTGCTTAACCCCTTTCAGATTAGTCTCTTGCCAACCTGGAACACCAGGGCATTTCTCTTACTTCTGTCAGTCTTGATCTGCTTTTCAGGCGGTGCTTCATCACCTTTGGCTACTTGTTGGCCAGGCAAAAGTTGAAGTCGTTTATTACATGCTTGGAAAAAAGGCAGTTTGCCCAAAAATGATGCTGCATGTTGTCCTAAAGCTTATCATCTGTCGTTTTCAGAATCAACAGAGAAAAAAGTAACTAGGATAATTACATTTAATCCATTTTAATACACACTCTCTAACAGTCAAAAACCACTGAGGTTTATGTAGGTTTTTTTTCAACCCTGATTTGTCTTTTATTCCACCAAACAAATCTTAATTATCTTCTGCAGTGGAAATGAGAGTCAGTCCTTTTATCATCGCTGTGTATTTTGTTAAATAGCTTGCCAGGAAAACACGACAGCAGTGTAATTAGATTAATCCAGCACTCCGTGTGCTGTTCAGTGCTGTGGACTGATTCCTGGGCCCCTTTCCTTGAGTAGGTGCATGTTTTTAGGAGGAATTTTCGTTCTGATTGAGAGAGCGTTGCTGAATAACAAGACTAATCTCTAGTGCACTTAGACTCCAAGCTGTTTTAGTACCCTGCTGACGTTGCACAGCTAATGACCTGGGCCAGAGAGCATTTCCTAATTAGAAAAGTGATTTAAAGATTGTACCCAAGCACACAGTTTTAATTAAGTGACATTGAGCAGTTGAAGCACTCCGGCCTTTCCAGAATGCAGTGCTGGTCGTTTGTGGGGATTTTGTTGTTTCTTCCGCGTGGTAGGTGTACAGTTGCATGGAGAGGAGCGCTCTGTAGCTCCTGTTGTCGTCTCGAGCTTTCTGTCCCTTCTGCCTCCCAGTGTCCATAATAATAGGGAGCGGTGGTTGGGGAGCAGTTGGCGGGAGTCTCCTGCCAGGCGCTGGACTGATGGGTTAAAAGGAACTCAAAGGCTTGGTGCTGAGACTGAAGCGAATGAATTGCCAGAACGGAACTGTTAATTGATGATGAAGTTACCGCCTGCAGAGCACCTGCCCCTTTGATGTGGAAGCCCTTTGAAATGTATGAAAAATATGGAATTATTTTACTGTTATCAACTCTTGTTTGTGGAGATGTCAGAAGTCCTCACAGGACTCTCCGAGTGAGTTTCGCACCCGTATTGACAAACTGTCATGCACTACTTCTTGTTGGGTTTGAGGAATTTAAAATAAGGGTCTTTTGTCTTTGCAGTTTCCATAGCCTTTTTCATTTTCAGCCACCTCTTTTATTCTGCTTCTGTTCTCTTGTGCTGCTGCTTGTGGAATTAATCCATCTTCTTGCATTTCTCTGCAGAAGCAGGGATTTATGTGCCTTGTCTCCTCAAAGATTTGTTCTTATTTTTCTACTTTGTATAAAGATTCAGCACACTTCATTAATTTTTATCCTGCTTTTAAGATGAAATTGTTTCTGATGTTTAAGACATGAAAGCTATTAGAACTTTGGTTGCTCTACAAATCAAAATTTCAGGGTTTTCAGATTTGGGGGTTGAAATTTTCTATGGACTATAAATGAATGCCTCTCTTTTAAAGGACAACACAAACTTGTTTGTGTAATGCCAGAACAACTTGGCAATATCCTTTAGGATTTGCCTTTTCTCTATCAGGCATGTTCTTTCTTGTGCTTCTCAGAGGTCATCCCTGAGGTACTTTCTTCTTCAGCTACTTGCTCCTAAGGTATTTTAAGACTGCTTTTATGCTGGTGCTGTGAAATCTCAACTAAGGAATACCGTGAAGTAGTGAACACAGGGAAGAGGATGCTGTAAACCTCTCAGTCATTATCTTTGATTTGGGATTGCTTAAACTATTTTTCTTTTCATCATCATGATATTACTATCAGTCAGCAGTCCGTCATGATTAAGCAAGGAAAAGCCAAATAACCAGACTGTATTGTGAATTTCCCTTTGCAACCCACTCTCCCCAATTAAAATCTCCTCTTCATTAACGTTTTTTTAATCAGAGCTCCATACCTGAAGCAGGTGCTTTATTCTGAGTATGCACATGATGGGGATATCTGAGTTCTGCTGCACTCTGAGATACTCCTTGGTTCTGCTGCTTTTCCTGTCTTTCTGCATAGAGCTATCCCATTTGAAATATTAAATCTAGACATTCCCACTGCGATGTCTGCTTACTGAAATGGCCAGACAGAAGGTTAATAGGAAAAG